AGTCCTATTTTTTTTCAAAAGTGCTATCGGATTTAGATTACTAGAAGAGAAGGCTAATTTTACTTGGAAAAGCGAAATTGAATTTGGATTACGAGAAGCGAATTCAAATTTTACTTGGGAAAGAACAATTGAATATGGATTACGAGAAGTGGAGTCATATTTCCTCCTACCATCAGGATCAAAAGCTCTGTAATTCTGAAATGAGCCTTTTTTAAATTGTGTGAAATAAATCATAGCAAATAAGCAGTTCCCCGCGAAGTGATGAAATGGAATAGCTCAACTTTTTACGATTTGCATGAAACTTTGCATATTTTTTTTGTTTTGGGCAATAATTCACAGTCTTGTTAAAAATTTCAAAATAGCGTCTTTAAAATTATTTAAAAAAAATTACTTGGAAACGGCATTTCTGATCTAAATCTAAGTTGTAGAGAAGTTTTATGTTTTTTTTTTCTGGGAAAAATATACAAACAAATGTTTTTAATAATTTCAAGTAAACATTCCAGACAAAAAAATATTAACCTAAATATCTCAAAATGTTCTTGTACGGTTTTAAAAATTTCCGATTTTAAAATTTCTTGCATTTGTTGTGCATGCCATTTGTTTTTTTCTGAAATTTAAAAGCAGGCCTCTGAACTGTTGCTCGAGCCTTGTACTTGCTGTGACAGGTTTAAACCTCTTTCAATAGATCAATAAATTTCAGATGGAACAGGTGCACCAGTTGTGGCTTTACAGAATTCCATAGGCCATAATTGGAACGTATAACCATACCTATTAAATGTGAGAACCGGTACCGAATTGAATAACGATCGTTAAATTGTGAATAAATGCAGGCTTGCAATGACTTATTACAGCTAAAATGTTATTATGTGGAATTATGAAGCTATGAGATATTATAATTTTTTTTTTATTAGCAAGATACAGGCAGAGAAGGTAAAGTTTGAGTATGACACATAATACCTGTTAATTTCGCTTTCATAAAATTAGTGATAAGCTATGATGACCGCTTGCTCATCGCGACTGCTCATTACAACTAAAATCACTAATTGTGACCCTCTGAAAGCAAAATTTACAGGTATTATGTCTCAAACAAAAACTTTACCTTCTCGTTTTGCATTCTACATAGAACATTAAACCTCATCACATGCAAATTTACAAATATTCCGAAGTTTTTTTTTTCAAAATCGGGTCTTGATATTTTTTCTATGTACAATGTCTTGAAAAGTTGTTTGTATGTACGTCATATTGAATCCTTAGAACTCAGTCAGTAATAATTTTCGCATTTCTTATAATTTTCTTGGAATTTTTCTCAGCGTTGTAAGCGTTGTAAGTATTCTCCCAAAACTTTGATGGAATTGTTCCATGAGTTACTTCTGATTTCTGTCCAGGAATTCTTTTAAATGTTCTACATCATTCTCATTGAATTCTCCTGTGACTTCCTTTGAAATTCCGATGGAATTCTACTAACTACCTTTGGGATGATTCACAACAATTCCATCGAGTTCTCTTGATATTTTAGTCAGAACTACCATGGAGTTCTTTTCTTAACATTCTTAGAGTTCAATTTGTTAAAATTTGTGCCTTGTTTCATCCTAATTACTTTGGAAGTCTAGTTAGAACTCCCTTGGATTTGCTTCTAAACAATTTTTAAACTCTGAAGTTTAAGATTTACCTTAAATGCTTCGCTTAGTTCTCATTCAATTGTCCTAAGTATTTGCTAACTACACTTGAAAGACTCGTGCATTTTTTCCATAGAATTCCCTTGAAATGCCCCTAGAATTCTTTAAAATACTATTTTGGGATTCTCTTAAGAACCACCTTGTAAAAAATACATTAAAATTAACTCGATGGTCTCCTCGTAATTTCCTTAGGTATAAACAGGAATCAGGAGGTACTCAGAACAATATAGTTTCCAGGCAATTATTTTTTTCAAGAAGTTCTTCTCATAGTTACCTTTGAAAACTCTTCAGAATTCATTTACAATTAACCTCAAAATTCCCTTTATAAGCGTCTAAAACGTCTTTAGAAATACATTAAGCCAAAAAAAAAAATGGATCACTGTTGTAAGCATCCATACCTATCACGCCAAAAACCTTGAGATCAAATTTTAATGCCAGACAAGTCAAAATGTTAAAGTGACTATAGCTATACAAAATCCTTTGAAAATTTTTCATTTGGATTATTATTATTTTTGATCTTCAAAACAATTTGTCTTACATTTCGTGTTTTCTGAATTTTAATTTGTCTAAGAGGCTTTTCATAAACTAGACACTTGGGAAAAATGTGTATGATCGATTGTCTACGCGTCATTCATATTTGGCAAAGAGATTATTTCCATATCGAGGGGCGACCCCGGCGTAGTGTTTAACATCCATACCTCTCACCCCCGGGCAAGACACGAATGACCCAAGAGTGTTAAAGTGACTTTAATAAAAAAAAATATTTCCATATCATTTTACCATGCAACGTGCTTTATGCTTCTTGATTCATGAGTTCCACAATGCTTGAATCATGATTTATGAATTTTCAAAGTTCGTACTGTCCGGGAAAATCCAAAAAGATCCAAAGATTTTCCGGGAAAATTAATCACCCCAAATTTTATAAAATTTGTTTTCGTTCATTCAATCTTAAACTCTACCTGTGGGCAAAATTTCATAAAATTCTAATACCTAGGACTAGGAATTATTTCAATGAAGAATTTTTAGCTTTTGATTTTTCATTGCAGATTTTTTCTTCTTTGAAACATGATGATACTTCTTGCTTTTGATTTATGATAGGAGATTTTTCCATATTTGAAACATGAGTGGTTTTTTTGGGACTTATTGTCATAATGATTTCTAACATCATTGATGATCATAACTTATTTATTTTTATTTGCTACTGATTTTGTTAAGGTATTCTGATAAGGTCTTATTTGTGATGAATCAATTCATCACTTAACAAAATGAAGCGCACAAATATCTGCTCAAACAATAAAAATATGAAAATTATACTTCAAATCTCCATCTCCCTCTCTACATCCATAACATTGTCATCCACTAACCTCGAGAAGACCACGAGTATTCGGAATCATCCACACTACTACACTCAGAATCATTCATGTTACGCTCAGCTGTCTATTTTGCTCAATTCTGCGTTCATCGAAGAAAATAAAAGCAATGCGAATACGAACTGCTGTTCGTTTCTGAAGTTGTAAATGCAAAGTGAAACGATTTCTCCCATGCTTGCAGGGGGTAAACCAATAATCTAAAATTACAACCGTCACGAGAAGGTGTTAGGTTTTGAACGATCATAACTTTGCCATTTTTAGATGAAATTTGAATCCAAATACGCCAATCGATAGGAAATAACTCTACGAATTTGCGCTGCTATCTACAAACTAGCTGAAATAAATACTTTTCCAATTTTACATTCCAAACTTTTGCATTATGTACCAATAAAAAGTGACAATTTTGTCACTGTTTTCACAAAATAAACGCTTTTTTAAACCAGACGTCATGATCGAGCATCACTTGGTTGCGCATCATTCTGCTTGAACCTGTAAATTTATAAAAGAGCGCTGTTGTCGCGCTTCCGCTCATTTTCGCATAGGACTATGATGCGGAACTTGATGCTTGCTATCTAAAAATTTAACAGGTGGAGAACCTGTATACGAGCTTTTGCTCTGATTTTGAAATTGAATATCTGAATCCTCCTTATTTTCAATTAATAATGTACTAAACACCTACTTATCCCAAGCAACAAAAATTCAATGTTGAGTAAACTGCTATACAATCAAAACCAGTCATACAAAGGCTATGTGAACTAATGACGTAATCTTTTTTGCTGTTTTATGTGAACTTTTTTAGAACATGCAAGTTGCTTGGGATTCAAAGCTAAGCGTTTGATTTAAGAAAAAACACTTCTAGTTCTTCTGTATTTTAAATCAATATCATGAAAAATGCACGAGAAGTTCTACTTCAACCATGCGGTTGTGTCTTGTACACAACCCAACCAATTTTACACGTTACGAAATACATCTTTGACATAAAGGATAAGAAGTAAACAAACATGTAAAATTAAGTGCTCCGAGACTGAAAATTTCGTTACTCGACGAAAAGTACTTTTGATTAAGCTGAATTTCGCGTCTATTATGACTCACTTGTATGTCAAAATTGACGCTCGTATATGTCAGTCTCAGACCACCTAAATTTACATGAATTTGTGTAGTCACTAAATCGTTACCTGCTACCAGACGAAATGTGAATAACTATAAAAATTTCGGCCATATAACCCATTCGGTCTTATGGCATTCAGCCTAATAGCGTTCAGCCTAATGACCCATGACCAGTCTAACTACTCTTCCTGAATGTGGATTCTAGGTAATTTTGGTCGAAATTTAAGTTGTTAGGGTCAGACCTAACTATAATTCGATAACTTTCAGATTTACCTGCGAACATCAATTAATTTCATGTTCAAACATTGAAGAAACGGAATTCGACCCAAAGTTATAAATTATGAATTCCATTCTGCTCCAACTGTATTTGACAAATAAGTACTAATTAGATCAACACAAGCAGCGTGATGATGACATTGAAAATATCCAATCATCTGTCATTCTCAGTTCAAAATCAATCACTTTCGGCAATGCATTGGTTGCTACAACCCAATATTCCACCATCACTCAATGTCTGCGATATTCTCACAATTACAAATACCGCGTCCTTTGTACAAATCACGTCCCTGACACTGAACGCATCCGCAGCAAATCAAGGGCACTGGCCAGGGGAGAATGTCCTGCTGGTCGTGCGCCCGCGCACGCCATACAAGTCCGTTACCATCCGGGACTTGTATTGGCACGCAAGTGACGAACGCCGGTGGCGGCAGCAACTACACACGTGCGTGCTTTGAATCTCAATCAACCCTTCTACTGCCGGTCCCGGCGCCGGCTCACATCTATGGCGAAGGAAGTCAATTCCCTGCAGCCCTTAGCTTGTTTGGTGAGGAATTTCCTAGGAACTTACCGTCTTGTTTGCCTTGGTATCGACTGAGTCCAGCATACTGGAACGTGGTTGAATTGTTTGTAGTTTCTGCCGGTGGCCTGCGATGGGATTAGAGTCGACGATGACGGGACTGATTGGTTCTGGTTCGATGCCGATTGCGCTGATGCCGCGGATAATCCTGCGTGGTATTGCGGCGGTAGCGAGTACAGATTGCTGCGAGAACTGGTGCTAGACGAACTACTGCTGGCGCCGACCATCCCGTGATGGTGATGATGATGGTGGTGCATTGGATGGGAATGGAGATGCTGCTGATGGCCGGTCATTGGCGTTGATGCGTGACAGTACTTGTAAATGTTGTTGGTCGATAGCGAGGACATACGATACGGATGGTTCAACTGTTGATGTTGTAGGGACTGGTGCTGCTGAGACTGGTGACGTGGATCTACCGAAACACGTACGAAACGCCCGGCCAGAACGTCGCCATGGCCGTTGACCAAATCGAGATGCGTCCCGGGTGGCATTCCAGACAGTTCTATGCCGTACGGATTGTGCATATTGGCTCGGTTCATCGAATCTACGGACTGGGATCGTTTCTGGTAGTGGTAGCTTCCCAGGGGTGGCGGAGGAGCGCGAGTCTTAATTCTGCGATAACGGATCTGCTGAGATTGGTGGGAAACAGATGGTTGCTTGGGAAGCCCTGACGGTGGCCTGCCCAAGGTCGTTTTCTCCAGCTTGCTGCGCAATTCATTCTCAATTTCCCCATCCAAACAGATGATGCTCTCCGGTCCACTGTCTTTGGAAAGTGGACTGTCTTGATTCCTTCGGGCAATTTGCGTATGTTGCACTCCATCTCGATCCGTTGTTTGCAACACGTCAAAAGCTGGAGCTGTTTGAGCCGTTGCCAGTTCAGAATCCGTAGAGATCCGATCCGGGTCGCTCTCGAATCCTTCATCCAACGATCTAGTCGGACTTAAAATAGGCTTGGAACGAATTTCCGTTTTCACCTCCATTATGTCTTCGTCTTATGTCACTTGTACAAGGTTCCCCGAAAAAAAAAAACAAACAAAAACTAGCCAAAACACAATCAAACTTAAATCTCTCACTTCCTGTCGCTTATTTTCCACTCGGTGACCACAAAGCACTCGACATGCCACAAATCATCATCGCTAGCCTTCTTCACTCACTTCACACTAGAGTAGCTTCCCTTTCGATTTCAGGCTCAATCTTCCACACTGTAGGCTGCCTTCAATGTGTCGGCTATTTTCTTCCAGCTGTGTCTGCACAACTTAAAACACTCCACCACCAGCAGCAGTAGCACAACAAAAAACACACAACAACCAAATCTCAGAATATTCGATCTTCACCCAACCGAATCTGAAAAGCGAAATTTTTCACCGCTCGCTGATTTTTGCCTTTATTTCTCTTCTTGTTTACAACCACCGAGCTATTGTACGAATCACACTCCTCCAAACCGAAACACTATTAGCAGATCGCAACGCCCCTGCTGGTCCCTGGAGCCACAAAAACAAACCGTCGAAAATCCAATCAACGTGCAAGGGAACGCGTCGTCACCCTTTCCCCGCGTCGAGGGTACCGGGGGTCCAATTTCTTCCTTTGTTGGAGTCGCGAGTTTCGCAACACTATTGTCGCAAGAACGACGACACCCCTTTCACCACACTTGCACTAACTCTCACTCTCGTCCACCAGCGAGAACCCGCGGCGCGTCGCGAATCATGCACTGCTTCTTATCACACAAGCCCCCACCGATCCAGATGCGGCGATCGCGCGTAAAATTTCTCCCAAAACAGTCCTCGATCGCGACGATCGTCAATTCACGTGTGTATGTGTGGGCAGAGTAGGAGTGTCAGTCCTTTAGCGCGATGCGATTCAGTTGGCCGTCGAAGGAAAACTGAGCGAACAGGTTTCTTGCGGTGGCGTCCGACGGCTCGATACACCGGTGCTGCGCTAATCCACTTGACGCAGGCTAGCCGCTCTCGGGCACCAAATATGGAGAGCATGAGAGATACAGAGAGAGCTTTTTTGAAGAGGCAGAGAGCTTTCAGGTGCAGGGATTTTCTCACCTTTCCCAATGACGGTTGGTTGGGTGGACAAACATGTGCGCCGATAAAGTGTGAATTTGAAACATGTTTTGAGAGGTGGACCCACATGTGATGGGCTGCATGCGTTTGCTGTTGGGAGAGCGAACGTGTTTGAGAGCGAGAGGAAAAGACGGAGCGTGAGAAAATATGTTGAAAGCTCTCTCCCTCTCTATTTCTCTAAGCTGGGTGAAAGAATGAAAGGTAATTTCACCCAACGAAGTTGTGGGCAGAGAAAACTTGGGTGGTAATGTAGCAACTGGAATGATTAGTTAATGGGGATCGGGTTTGACCACTTTTACCGAATGTGGCAGCGCGAGTGGATGTAAGCGAGTTTAATTTTTTTTTTCGATGCATTTATTTGGGAGACTAAATCGCCCGCGGGAGCAATACGGAGCCGTAATTTGTGTAGCTACTCAGATTTCTATCCTACCCGTGTTTTACTATTCTAACAAAGACTTAACAACCCTCTGCTCCCTCTTTGTTCTTTCGATTTGAATTGAGGTTCCCAACAACTGTGCCAAATTTGAACGAATGTAGATACGATCTGCATTTGCGGAAGAATTTTTCAGTTTGTATGGGAGAATGTATGGGAAACGGCACAAGGCTGTTCAGTAGCTAGTCAAAAATACAAAAACTGATCAATTTTGACCAAAGCTGAGATTTAGAATGGGAAAACTATGCAGAAAAACTTTCTCCAAGATCGCAAATTGATTCGAGAACTTCAGGTAGATTCCAGGAACTTTAGGGCAGTTTAATTATTGTCACGAGAATATCGGGAACGTCCAAAAGTTCTGAAAACTAAAGTATAGTCCATAAAACATTAAGGAAATTTAATGAACTTATGAAAAATATCAATAGCTTTGCTTAAGAGATCTTAAGGTCCATTCCAGATCATCATCAGTAAATTAGTGAGAACTTCAGGGATGCTTCGTGAACTTCAAGAAATATCAGATATTTTCAGGGCAGCCACATTAACTTCACAAAAATTGTTGAAACTTTGAGGAATGCTTATAAAATCAAGGAAAGTTTCACAAACAAAGTGCGATAACATAAGTGAAGATCCGAAAAACAAAAATAGGAATACTGTGGAAACTTCAGGGGAGCTTAAAGAACTTCAAGACCGTTACATTTCCTTCAGAAAAAAACTGTAGAAACTTTTAAGATGTTCTTTGAACTTCAGAATTATCCATAAAACTTCAGGGAAGTCAAGAGAACTTCTGAGCTGTATTGAAAAAAATATCAAAACATCAAATCTCACCAAATAACTAGATCACGCTTGATTTTCGTTCACAAAAATCGACATGCAAACAACAGCGGTTAATATTGCAAACTGTGATATCGCAGCTCGGAATATCAAGCTAACAAAACTCACCAGCTGCAAATCTCACCAAACTTTGATAAGATTGTGTTTCATGATTTTGGCCGAACGCAACCGAAACTGCCATAACGGCTGGCAGCAGTCGCTTCGTGTCTGCTATCGGTAAACAGAAAAAAGAGAACAAGGTACAACTTTTGCGTCGTTTCAACTCTTAGCTTCACATTTACACGTTGTGAATGGTCTCGAAATATCAAGCATGATATTTTGCTCCAATATGCGGGATATTGAGAGCTTATGGTAGCGGAAAAATATCAATTTTTTAATGGCTATGCCATCACTGCTTCTGAGATGTAGAGAGAACGTAGAGACAATTGTGCATTCAAATTAACTCAGAGAAACTAGCAATCTTTGGGGAATTACAGAAATCTTATGGGCAGTTTCAATAATTTAGGGAAGTTCTGAGAACTGCCGTACAGTCCAGTTTTTCAATGAAGTTTTAAGCGTAAGTGTAAGTTATCTACGCGTCAGATCCGGTAAATTCAGAGCAGTTCCATAAACTTCAGGAAAGTTTCGAGAGCCCTAAAAATGTTCCGAAAATTTCAAAGTAGCCAGAGATCTCTTGGGAACTTATGAACGCTTCATTGAAAATTCTGGAATTTCAAAGAAACCCAGAGAACAACAGGAAAGTTTAATGAATGTTTAGCACAGTTCCATTTATTTCAGGAAGAGATGAACTACGGCTAAAAATCTCTAAAATAAAGATTTAAAAATATATATACATATTTCAGGGCAGAACCCCCACAGCAGTTCAATAAATTTCAACGAAATTGCAGGAATTTTAAAGAAGTTCCCGGGAAACTCATTTATCATGTTACGAGAGTTGAACGTCAGGAAATTGTGAGCATATTTTAAAGGGAATTCCGTGATTTTCATGGTAGATCAGTGAACTTCTGAATAGTTTGGAGATTTTTAACGAAGTCTTATTTTATTCAGGGAAGTTCCGAGTGCTTTAAAAACGATCAGAGATCTTCAGAGCAGCACCATTAATTTAAAAAAAATTCCAGGAAGTTTCATGGAGTTCCAATGAATTATGGGATATTCCGAGAATTTAAAAAAGGTTGTTCAGAGAAGTTCAGAAAAAAAAAATTACGCGAAGTTCCGCGAGTTTTTAAGAAGATTCTTAAACTTATGGAGAATTTCGGGAACTTCAAGGAATATCAAGGAACTTCAAAGCAATTAAATTAATTTAAATTAATCAGGATAGTCTAAAACACTTAAACGGAGTTCAGAGATCTTTCTGTTTGTCTCAATAACACAAGGAAAGCACATTAAACATCAGGAAAGCCACTTTGGAGGAAATTTTGAAATGATGATGAATTTGTTTTTTCCAGACATTTTCATGAGCTGTAGAAAAATGTTGAGAACTGTGTGTGAGTCTTGCACTCTAGTGCATGAGCAAAGATAGTAAAAGAAATATGATTGAGTGTAGCTAATCTACTGGCCCTTCTGGCAGGCAACTGGCTTGTTCAAACTCAATAGAAGTTTAAAAAACTCAGGACAACTGCGGGAACTTCATATAATTGCAAAGAACGTTAGGAAAATTCAGAAAATTTCAGGGAAATTCTGAGAACATCCTGAAAATACAAAAACATTTTAATAGAAGTTCCGTAAGCTTCAGGGCTGTTTTGAGAACTGAGACTTACGTCACGTAAGACTATTGCAAATCAATTAATTTCAGAAAAAGAGCGGGAATTTTAAAGAAGTTCCACGATTTTCAAGAGAAAACTTCAAAGATGTTTAAAAAACATTGGAATTTTCATAGTTGAAGATGCTAATTTCAAATAACAGACTGTAGTGGTAAGTTTTATACGATAGATGGAGTAGATGAAAGTATAGAGTTGATAGTTCCGTTAGAGTACGGCAGTGTGAAAATTGCATATAGATAGTAGAATAGCGAGCTAGGACATCTATATGCAATTTTCACTATCGGAACTATCAACTCTATACTTTCATCTACTCCATCTATCGTATAAAAATTACCACTACAGTCTGTTATTTGAAATTAGCATCCTCAACTATGTTAATCGTTGATTTCACGCAGAAGTAACACTAAACATATAGTCAAAGTATTAGAATTTTCTTGAGAACTATATAGAACTTCAGAGAACTTAGAAGAACGAGAATGTTAAGAACTTTGGAGAAATTCCGAGAATTTCAAATAAATAAAAAAATGAAGAAGCTTGACAGCTTCATGAAAATTGTTAAGACTTCAGAACGTCTCTAGAATTCCAGAAAAAATGCGCGAGCTTCGAAGATGATACATGATCGTTAAGAAAATTGAGGAAACTTTAGAGAAGTTGAGAGAAGTTCAGAAATTTTTTAAAGATATCAAAGGAAGTATCGTGAGCATCAGAGTTTATTTTTCAAAAACTGTGAAAGAATTTCAAGGCAGTTCCATTGACTTCAAGAAAATTGTGTTGTTTTAAGAAGTTCCGAGGACTTCGAGAAAACTTCAAGGAACACAAAAGAATGTATGAGAATGCTTAGCACTTTAAGTAAATCTAGAGAATTTTACAAATGTTTACAGAATTTTAGTGCAGTTACGCAAACTTCAGCACAATTCCGAAAACTATGTCTCAGATAATTTTATGGCAAGCTGTACGCAGGCAAGTTTTATTTATATCTCAGTGTCAGACTTTCACAGAGGCCCAAAAAACTTCAGGAAAGTTTAAAAGTTTTTAGGAGAGTTCCATTTATTTCAGAGCAGAATCAAGATATTGTAGAATTGTGAGATTCAAGAAAGCTTCTCTGATCCATCCAAATCCAAAGGGTAGTTCAAATAATTTCAAGGAAATTGCAGTAAGCTTACAGCAGTTTCGAGAAATTCAGAGAAATCCCGGAATCTTCAGCAAAGCTTCAAGCGAGTTTATAGAACGTAAGGGAAGTTTTATTAACATCAGCAAAACGTGAAAGTATTTAAAGAATTGTACATAACTATAATGGAAATTTCAAGTCCTTCTAAAATTGGCTAAAACTATACAAAGTTGATAAGAGAACTTCAAGGCAGCTCCACAAATTAATTTTTTTAAGATCTCTGGAATTTCTTGAAGATATCGATCTGCACGAAATTCCAACGGTCTTTAAAGAAATTTATAATCTTAAAGTGCCATGATATTCAGCGAAGTTCCACCCAACAAACAATTGAGAGTCACAAATAAGCATATAAATTAAATAATGCTTTATAACAGTGTACAATGCTGAATAAAATGGGTTGTCAAATTATGTGCTGAAAAAACCTCATTGATATCGATAAAAGCGCCTTTATTCCGCTGTTGCTCTGATTTGATTGATATACTTATTAAAAGATATACAAACGATGACTGTCTTCCTGATTCAACACCAGAAGTTTGATCTAATAACATACTGAAAAAGTGTAATTTGCACATATATTGACGCTTTAAT